TTTTGATTCCCTTCATAGAGCAGCATTGTCCCATGATAAGAGGAGGGAGCCAGATGAGCTTGTGATAAAAACAGCAGTGCTTGCCAAACAAAGCAGGCCCAGACTACAAACCAGAGGCAACTTATCCTAAAGAGTGTTCTCTGCTCAGTTAAGTTAGGACAAAGCCTTACTGGCCAGCTTCCAAGACTGAGAAGTTCATTTCTCACCCTGAATACTTGGGCAGTGTGAGCCACTCAAAATATTGTTCAGATGCCTTTGGGAGTCCTTGACTCTGCATCACTCTCCTTCCACAGGGAAGAATGGAAAAATCTGAATGCTGAACCACCACAGAGAAAAGATAGTACAGAGAGAAACAGAAGATACACTGGTGGCCCCCCAGGTAACACTGAAGGAAGCAGGACACATGGGACCTCCTAGCTGATAGGACACGCTTGTGCACTCCTCACCCACCCAAAAACACCACAGGCAAATGTTCAGAGCATGGTGTGTTTACTGCATGTGAATAGGCTGCATCGGGGGCTAGAAAAGTCCTTGCCACCAGTCTTCAACAGTCCAGAGTCTTCAACATCTTGCATAAAGAGAGACAAAACATAGCTTCAAGTTTAGCTGCCAGCTATTTAAGAAACAGTCATACACATGCAAAAGTCACGCAACTGAGATTGCTTGAGAAAACCTGATGGTTGGAGAGGGCAGATATACTCATGCTGCAGTGCTCAGGGAGTTTATGATGGACTGCTTGTACAGGCAATTTCTGGTATCAAGTTGAATCCCTGCTTTCAGGAGGTGCTTCCTGTAGCTGTCTTGCTGCCTTCAATTCCTCCTACCTTGGCCACATGAATCAGTAGAGGCTTATTTTAAGTTTCCTAACACTTTTTTCTCTAAGTTTTCATCCCTGAAAACACAGCAGACTACTGAACCTGAAAGCTTTTCTTTTCATGTACAGACTCTTTCCCTGACACCAACACCAGCCAATTGTTCCATGGCTGCAGGCACCCCTCTGCCTGAGCAGGCTCAGCCCCTCCTGACAAGCAGAGCTCACACACCATGACAAAGCCAACACTCGGGGGACACAGTTTGTTACGGCTGTTACACTGCACAAGCTGAAGTGACCAGAGAATAGCACAGAGGTGTTTGCACCAAGCACAGTGGGACAGCCCCACTTTCCCCACTGCAGTGGAACAGCTCCTTGTACCAACAGGACAGGCCACCCCTAAATGAAACCAAATTAGAACTCCTGCACACAGGCTCCCTGCCTCCAGAGCACTTCCTCCCCACTGGTTCCCATCACCTCTCCTCCTTGTCAGGAACTTGCCTGCACAAGTCAATGAGCCCCAGGCCCTGAGCTTGCTCTGTACCATTCCTCTTCACCCCAGAGGACAGAGATCCTCTTCTCCCAGCCACCCCTGAGCTGTGCTAGTGTCTCCTGCGTTCCCCTATCCGTGCATGACCTCACCTCTGCAGGCACTCCTACTGCAGCTGGGTGCACTGCCACTCAGGAAGCCCCTTCTACCTCACTGGTCCCTTGAGCATCCACTGCTGGCTAAGCTTCCCAGCCCAGATCTGCTCTCAGCTCCTCCTCCTCAGATAACTCTTCCCTTTCCATCCAAGTCAGTACCTGCTCTCTTTGTCTGCTGTTAGACAGTTTCCCTATTAAAATGAGCCTCTCTGCCTCAGAAGTAACATGAACACAACTGTAATACCTGTCTCTGGATAATGAACTCTAGGTACTGCAGTAACAAGCTCCATGGAGATATGTGCAAAACCTGAAAATACAGCAGCACAGAAAATGTGCACCCTCTCCCAGAGCTGCAAGTCTCATCAGCAAGGCTCCAAGCTGCCCTTGAGGCTGCAGAGCAACTCTCCTCTTTACTGCTGCTAATGCCTGCTCCCATTTCCAGGTCATTAACTCTATTCCCCACCCAGCTGCCTCTCCCAGTCTTTCTGGCCAGGAGGAATAACTCTTTCTCATCCTCTCATTCAGTGCTGCCTTGGTCTCTGACATTATTTCTTTTTTCTCCTTAAATAGCTACACAGAAATTCTCTGCATTCATATACTCATCATGTTCCAGAGGGACTGAATTAAATATACCTTTCATTTCTCACTCTCTGCTCCCATGTTTTACTCCACTGCTCCTTGTCTCTTCTGAAGCAAACTGCCTCCCCAAAGCCAGGGGCTGGCCAAGTTCTGCCGGCTATTCACATCAGATAGATGTTCATCTTGGAGTAAAACTAAGAGCACTGCAGTACCCCTGTACTTAAGAGAGAATCCAACACTTGCCTTCCCATGTGGATGTGTCTGCTTTTCAGCACATCTGCCCTTCCAGATTAGCTCCACTAAAAGCTCCTTTGCTGCAGAGAACAAAGCACTTTGCTTACGGGTTTCTGGACTGACTCCTACCCTCTTCATCTCCCTACACAGAGATCCCCACAGGAGCTCCTCATCCACTGCATTTGCCCAGATCCATCAAAACAGAGCTGCTCTGCAACAAGCTTTACTCATCCCACCAGCCAGACGAGTTGCCTGCAAAACAAGTCACAACTTTCTGGTACCAGGATAAATTGAAGCTGATTCCTTCCCCTGCTCCATGAAGCATGCTGCGAGAGAGCAAAGCACAAACTGGAAGAGTCCTGCCCACATGCTGCCCCCCTGCTGCAAGCCCATTAGGCATCTACTGAAATATGAAGAAAAGGCAAAGATCCATTTAGTGAACCCAGTTTTCACCCTAGAACAGGCAACCAACCAACCATAACTCCACAGGGGAATTCACAGGGCATGAAACTCACAATAGCAGCAGAAGTATCCAGGTTGGGTTCAGCCCATCAATTCCACCAGACAATACCACTCCCACCATTTCACAAGTCAAAACACTTCTTGCTTCTGACATAAAGGAAGGAGTTTTGCTCCAGCACACATTATCTAATTCTTCATACAATGTGAAAGTCAAAATACCTGTGTGCGTTTCCTGAAGAGCAAGAAAATCGCATACAACCTGGTATACATTTCTTCTTATCAAGCATGAGCTCTCTTCCATTCTGCAGCAGACCACTCCAGAGATAGGAAAGCACCAAGAGGGAATAAACTTCACTGCAGACTCAACAGAGAAAGGAAGAGACCTGTGGCAGTACACACTGCAGAGGTGTCTCCTTTCTGCTCTGCTTTCTGTTCTTATGATCAAAGGGGACCCAGCTTTCCATCTTAAAGGAGGGCTGGATTTTGTCTGGAGTATGAGGAAGTGGCTGGGTATGTTTTGTTAGACACATCACTTCTAAGTTTCTTCTGCGCCCAGGCAACTATTACATGCCATTTTAGGCCACAGAAGGAAGCTTGTAGCCTGTGACATTCTTCCCTTCTTACTGCACCTCTTGTAATGGGGAGAGCAGTTCCACAGCCCACTGCTGATTTGGATGGGCCCACCAGAATGACCTGCTCTGTTGGGTATCCATTGCAAGACCCAGACTTTCCTACATCTTTCCAGAGCTGTGAACTCAGCAAAGAGTTCCACATAAATAAAAGGTAAGTCTGACCACATAATGCCAACACAGGATTTCTCTTACTTCCTTGGAGTCCGCAGGCAGCTCTCCCACCAAGCTGTTTTCAGCTGTATACACAGAACAAAACAGATAGGATGGAGAATCTACAAAACTGCTGCCTCCTCCAAGGCACACAAAGTAAGACTGATTCCTTGCTGGCCACACGGGAGGTTAGGCGTGAGCACAAAACTGAGTGGCTCATAGTAGGGTTATTTTCTGAGGCTGTGCAGTATAGATCTGTGCTTTGGAGTAGACTCTAAAACAACACCGACTACAACCATGCAACTGTACTAGACATTTCTTCCCAGTCTTCACTAGCCCTACATGTCTCCCACACCCAACACTGCAAATTACAGGCGTAATGTGCTCCAGACAAGACTACAGCACACAAGCTTCTATGGATGTAGAAGTGGCACAGCTTGTTTGCCAAACTGCAGTATTAAAATAAATAAACCACACATACATACATGCTTCCTCAGATGTGTATAACATTCTTCTGAGACAATTCTCAAATTCCACAACCACTGCCTGAATGCCAGTCAAACTCAGGGCTACCGGAAAAGTTCCACTGAACACAAATTTGTGATAATTCTAGGGACAGCTTATCATAATATCATATTCTGCTGAGGCCATTCTAATGTATCTACCTTGGCAACATCCAAAATGAGAGTGAGACTGCACATCTAGGAATACACACTGTGCCTTCTTGTGAGGAATGCTGCATTCAGAAACAAGGCTGTTATACCAAAGGAGAGCCATTTAATCTCTAGCAGTGCATTCTTTCAAGTTTTCCTATCCATTACTTCCTAATCTCACTCATCCAGAAAATGCCTCAGAACAGATCTTATCCTATTGCTTCTCACTACTCTCCCACTCTGATACAAAGTAACAACAGAGTTTGTGGGCTTTGCTCTGACAGGAGCAGGGAAGCTGCTCCCATCTGTCAGGCTTCCACCTCCTTGATAACCATTACTTGTCCCTTTCTGCAGCCAACTTTGCCATGCCCTGCCCACCTCCGTGAGCAGCACTTGCCCTCAGCTTTGTGCCAAATGTCTTTTTGCAGGTCTGTAGGGTATGAGACTCATCCGGTCTCATCCACAGTCATTGTTCCTTCTCCGACTTCTTAAGATCTGGTGAACAGCTTAAAGCAGCTAAAATGAAAGATTTAATTCCTCCCCAAAGGGTTGCACATGCACACTGCTGTACTCAAGGTGAAAGCCTTACCTCTTCTGAATTCTCTGCCCCACCATCCTTCCCGCTACTGCTGTTGCTGCTGCCGCCGCCGCCGCCAGGCTTTGTGGTGCTTTTGGTAGACTTTGGAGACTCCTGAAAGAATGAGAACACATTCAGAGAAAACTTTGCCTTCCGAATTTTAGCATCTCTCTTCAGGTGTGTACTGTCACAGACCACTCCCGCAGCACGCCCCGCTCCGGACATCCAGCCTTTTCTCCCTGGGAAGGGCATCCTGAATGACTCTCCCGGCAGCTGACGCCCAGGGCGAGGCCACGGACCCAAGCCCGGGAGAGACGTCACCGCAGGCTGACCCCGGCGGGCCACCCGCGGGTGACAGGCCTCATGCCCACCCAGCCCTTCCTCGGGGCGCGGCCTCATCGGAGATACGAGGTGCCAATGCACCCACAGCCCCGGCCCGGCCGCCCTGGGCGGCGGCAGAAGCGGATCCAGGCCCTCACCCGGCCGGTGGACGGGTGCGGCCGTACCTCCCCCACCGGGAGCATCCTCGAGGCCGACGGAGCGCGCAGGGCGGGCGAGACAGGTTTGCACAGAGGCACCGCCGGCCGCCCCTCGCACCCTCCCGGCCGCCGCCCCCGGCCCCACGCCCCCGGCCCCACGCACGCCCCCGCCGCCCTCCTGCACCACCCGACCCGCCCGCCGCGGGCACGCGCCCGCGCCCCCGCCCCCTGCCGGCCACAGCCCCGCGCGCGCTCCCACCCGTGGGCCGAGCCGAGCGAAGGCCGCGCCGGGGAGGGGCGGCGAGAGCGAGCCCTCGGCCGCCGCACCGCGCGCGGGAGCTCCGCCAGCGCCGCCACCGCCCCCAGGGCCGCACCTTCTCCTTCTTCAGCTTGTAGGGCATGGTGAGCGCCGGCCCCCCACCGCTCCTCGCCCTACGCCGCCGCCGCCGCCTGCGCCCGGGCCCGGCCGCAGCTCCCCGCTCCCATTGGGCCAGGCGGGCAGGCCTGCCTAGCAACAGCCGCCGCCGCCGCCGCGTGCCGCTGACGCAGGGCGGCCGATTTTTCTGATTGGCCACATAGCGCGCGGGCGCCGGGCGCGCTCTCGGGGGTGGGGTTGCGGCAGCGGCTCTTCTGGGGCAGCAGTTCGGGCGCTGGTCCCGGCTGCGTTTCTTCCCGCGGGAGGGACTTGGCGTGTGTGGCGGTCCCTGGGACACGGCAAGTGCCTGCCCGGGACTCTCGGATCCTCGCTGCGTGCAGGCGGCTCCTGGAAAGGGAGGAAAAGTGACTGGGCTCCTTTTCCTGTCGGTTCTCCTCTGCATCGCTCGAGGAGGAGGAGCTCCAACAGCCTGAGCTGGCCTCAGGGTCTGCACCCCACCTTTACAGGGCGGTTGCTTGTTAGTGCTCCGATACACAGCTCTGGGGAGGCTGCCGGTAGGAATAAGGGGGTGAGTGAAGCTGGTGGATCGAAGGGTGAATGGAAATGTCTATGTGAGCACTGCGAGGCCTAGCACAGCCAGAATTTTGTGGCCGCTGATATGGAGAAGGCTATTCCTGGGACAGGAGTCCAGGACACTTCCCTGCTCACATGGGGCAGCCCGACTAGCTCATTGGCAGGTGGTCCTGTATCCTCACAGTGGGAGGATGGTGTCCAACAGCCTGCATGTGTCACCTTCAAGCTGGTGGGCAAAAAACAACCAGCAGGTAGCAAGCTGTCCTTGAATTCATGGACCTAAGCAAAGGGCCACCTCATTAGGACACATGATGTTTCAAAGGTCTAAGGTCAATCCTTACTGTCATTGTCTTGAAGGTGGTGTCTGCTGGCCGGTTGCCAGAGGTGCAAGAGCTCCCATTCACTTCAGCCAGGCCAGGTAAGGATCTCATGAATTGTGACACAAGAGTAGGGAGAGAAGCAGGGCATTGGGTGGTATCAGAGGTGCTTCAGCAGGAGCACAGTCTTTTCAGTCATTGGATGAACTAACCTGGTGTGGTATGTGGGGAAAAAATTCCCTAAGAGTGTTTTGAAAGATCAGTGCATCAGCTTATTTTTAGTGTGCTTATCATCTTCATTGACCTGACAGTCACTGGCACTTCACAGGATCCCCAGGAGCAGAGCGAGGTCCTGGTTTCTGTTGTCCTTTCTCTGTGTCATGCACAAGTGACCCACAATCCCAGCAAAACCATCTAGGTGCTTGTGAGCAGGGAACTGTGCCAATGTGAGCAGGTAAAAGCCACTTGCTTGAAGAGTTTGTAGCTATCATCATTCCCTGTTATAAGCTGTCACATGGAATTCTGGATTGGCTTTCCTTGGTCCTGGAGTTTGGTGAAACAGCTTCACTGAACTGGTATTTGGCCCCTGACTTTGTCCCAGTGTCAGGTGACTTGATGTTTGGGCCCAACTTCTGTCTGACACTGTGGCACAAGGTGGCCACCAGTCATCTCCAAAAAGAAAGCACTGGAAGAAAACCTTGGGAAATTCCTGCCCCACTGGATGCAGGAAGGGTGAGAAGGTGGCATTATTAGGGGGCAGCAGGAAAAACCCCTGAACATCATGAAGTTCTGCAGGGCATCTGAGAGTCTCCAGGGCATCAGGGGCTAAGGGGGAAATGGGAGCACCCTTTGGGGAGCTTCCTGGGCAGCAATGCTATGGGATGGCGCAATGGGGCAGAATTTTTTGAGGTTCAAAGGAGCAGGGAGTGGTTGGGGGAATCGTGGGCATTGGGGGCATTGTGATTGCCCCCAAAGGGCAGGGATTCTGAGGGGCAGGGAGCTCTTGGGAGCTTCGAGAGGATGGAGCTGTGGTGGGCACTTTGTAGGGGACTGAGAAGAGTTAGGGGAACAGCGGCAGGCAAGGGGAATGGGGGTGCACGGCAAAGGGGAGCTAGTGGGGGGCAGGGCTGTCCCATGCCAAGCCCATGCGTCCACGGATCCTGAAGGGATCATCCCGCTGAGCCAAGGCATGAAGACAGCTTTTATCTCCTCGTGGAGCTGGCCCCCTTGGGGAACATCCCAGAGTAGGTGCCTGGGAATCATGTTCCCCAGCCCAGCTAGTGAATGACTTCTTGAAGCCTCGCTTGTCTCCATATGTCTGACTGCTGCACTGCATCCTTACCTATTCTCCCTCCACACCACTGCTTACCAGTCCAAGCTCTCCTCCCTCCCCCAGCCCCTCATTTACTCACAGCTGCTTCTTTGCCTCCTGACCTTTCCGGTCCCAGGCCTTCCATCTGCCCCTGCCTGCCCACAGCACATGCTCCTCTGCAGAGGCTTAAACCTGGAAAACATTTTCTTGGACAGTGAGGAAAATATGAAGGTCCCCATCTCCAGATTTTCCAGAAGGGTGGTACTGCAGGATGCCAGTGGGGAATCCCTTGGGGTCTCCCCACATCAGGGGCTGCCCACCAAGGCAGCACTGATCCAGGGCTTCTGCCAATCCCATGCTTATGCGTGTACTGATATCTGGCAGGAGAAGCCCTGTGACCCTTTCCTGGCAAACACATAGGGTCCTGAGGTCATCTTTTGCACCCTGCTTTGGGACTACAGGCCTTGTTATGCCACCAACTTGCAGTACCTGCTGTGCCAGACCCAGCCATCTTGTCTTGCCACAAAGGCAGCCCCTGACCTAGGACCATATGGTGGGGGGCTTGGAGCTGGGAGCAGCTAGGGGTGAGGGGGCATGTGGATTCTCCTGCCTTCAGGAAGGATGCATTCAGCATGGAAGGATGGCTCCACCTTCCGTCTGAACTCTTCATCATTTTCTCTACATGGTCCAGCTAGGAGAGAGTTGGGTAAGCAGATGAAGAAGCCCGTGGTGCTGAGGAACAGAAAGCTGTTCTCCTAGCAGGCCTCTGCATTTCCAGAGGCTGCCTTTAGCAGCGGATTGCAGTGTCTGCTCTGCCTCAATTCATCTCTCCTTGGCTTTCGTTCCTCTTTCAAGTACCATCTCAAAGAAGATGGCTCTGCCCATTTTCTGATTTCTCTGCTGCTTTGAATATCCTTGTGCTCTCCAGACACTTTTCTCACAGTGGTTTCCTAACCAGAACTTTATCCTGGTCTTTCCAGGTCCCTTTGGTATCTCCTGCTCTGGATTCTGTCTTTTGGGGAGATTTGGCTGAGCTCATCCACAGCCAAACACAGCTCTCATTCTTCTCCTGAAAATGTTACTTAGGACCAGTGCTCATTTGCTGTCCTTTGCTTTCCATCAGTCTTCCTCATTTCCCGATTAGGCTGGTAAATCCAGGTGCAGCTGCTTCTGAGGAATACAGGATGGTAAGGAGGTTGACACTGGTGTTGATACCTGGAAAGGCTGACCTGGAACAGAGACTAGACAGAGCAAAAGGAATAAAATAGGTATTTATTGAAAGGATACACCTTGGGCAGTGCAAGAACCTGGCTGGGGCTACACCCAAATCAAAGCCAAGATGGAACCCAGTCACGAGTTTTTACACTTTTATAAGTTTTAGTTCATCTACACATTGGGGTCAATTGTCCAACCACAGCCTCAGGCCATGAAGTCTCAACCCCCTGGCTTGCCCCCTTTCCTTCCCCGTTGTTTATGCTTTTTGGGTACCAGTTGTCCTTGATCCTCTAGTTAGGAAGGGATTGTTTTGTCTAACTACCCTGTGAAGAGAACTTACTAATACCTAATATGAAGTTTCAGAGTTGCACACTAAGCAGCAGAGAATCTGAAAAAGATAAAAGCTAAAACCCAAGGCATCATTTTCTCCACTTTAGATGCTTGACAAGGCCTTTACCTTGTCAAGTTTCTATTCAAAATATCTACTAATAATAGGTGTTCAATAACAGATAAGTATCTAACAATAGTAAGTAACTAACAACAGATAAATATCTAAGAGTAATAAATAATAATGGACAAGTATCTAATAACAGTACATTATTAACAGTAAATAATAACAGATAAGTATCTAACAGTAATTAACTAACAATAACAATAAACAATAATGAGAGGAATGTTGAATTTGTCTTTACAAATGAGTTGTGGATCAGCCTGTAGATAAGG